TGGGACCTCCGCAGCGTGTTTTCGGATACAGCGGGACGCTCCGGGACCCACGCACAGGGTGGCACGGCCACACCGGGGCCACCTGCGCATCAGCCCCGTGCGCGGGGCGGCCGTACATCCCTCTCCTTCCTGGCTCTGGTGACAGTGAGGTCCCCGTGTCTGCCCTCGGCATTTGGCTCGGCGGCACCGAGCACCTGGGGAGGGATGCGACGGGTCCGAGCTCCCCCCTCGCCGAAAACCACGGGGCTGCTCCTTTCGTGCCCCACGAGCCCCCGCGCAGCCTCTCCCCCAGGCGCAGAACAAGGCGACAGGGGCGTTGGCGGCTGCCAAGGTGATCGAAACCCCGAGCGAGGAGGAGCTGGAGGACTATGTGGTGGAGATCGAGATCTTGGCTTGCTGCGACCACCCCAATATCACCAAGCTGCTGGATGCGCTCTACTGGAACGGGCGGCTCTGGGTGAGCTGCGGAGGGTGCTGGTGCCCCCACCCTGGCCACAAACCGGGGTCCCACCGGCATCTCAGAGCTGGGGGGGGACTCGGTCTGGAGGGGACATGATTGCAGACCAGGGTGGGAAACCTCTCCCTGCAGATCCTGGTGGAGTTTTGTCCCGGAGGGGCCGTGGATGCAGCGATTTTAGGTAAAGAAATGATTTTTTTTCTGGCTGGCGCACGGCCGTCGGAGGGTTTGGGATGGGATTGCCAAATTTCACGGCGTGGGAGGGAGTCCTGGGCTTGTGCGGCATCTCCAGGAGGGAGGATGGGTTGGGGTGCATCTTCCTCCAGGTACCCCCGGCTTTGCGGGGGGTGCTGGGCGGGAGGCATTGTTAGCGGCGGGGTTCGTTTGCGCTGCCGGCAGAGCTGGAGAAAGGGTTGACGGAGGAGCAGATCCGAGCGGCTTGCAAGCAGCTGCTGCTGGCGCTGCAGTACCTGCACGGCTGCAAGATCATCCACAGGGACGTGAAGGCTGGCAATGTCCTGCTCACCCTCGACGGGGACGTCAAGCTGGGTGAGTCCCAGGGGAGTCGGGGCCCCGTGGGGCGGAGGGAGGCCAGGAGTGAAGTCCCAGGGGTGCTGTGCCCCAGGGATCCTCTCTAACAGCCGCTTTCTGCTCTGCAGCCGATTTTGGCGTCTCGGCCAAAAACTCCAGCACCGTCCAGCGCCGGGTGTCCTTCATCGGCACCCCGTACTGGTAGGTGGGGGGAAGAAATCCCTGGGGATGGTGGGATTTGGGAGTGCAGGCAGGCGGGCTGGGGGAGCCCAGGTGTCCCGCTCCTCTTGCGGATGCTCGCAACCGGCTCCTCGACACCAGGAGCATCTCAAGAAACCAGATCTTTCCTCCTCCAGCCAACACCGGCTCCAGGGTGGGCTTCTCAGTAGCATGAGACTATGTATGGAGAGGACAGACGGGGTGCTGGTGGGTGCAAGCCCTCCTGCGGTAGCGTTGGAGGAGTTGGGGTTGAATCTCACCTCTTCTGCCTGTAGGGTTGCCTCTGGAGGGGATGGCACCTGGGTTTGGTTTCAGGGGGAGATACCAGCCCCCAGCCCAGGGCAGGCTGGACCTTTTCCCCTCTCTCCCACGCGCAGGATGGCCCCAGAGGTGGTGCAGTGTGAGACATCCAAGGAGAGCCCGTATGGCTACAAGGCTGACATCTGGTCACTGGGCATCACGCTGATCGAGATGGCCGCGATGGAGCCCACCTCCCACGCGCTGCACCCGAGATGGCCGAGATGGAGCCCCCCTACCACGAGCTGAACCCCCTCCGGGTGCTGCTGAAGATCGCCAAGTCCCAGCCGCCCACTTTGCGTCATCCCAAGAGGTGGTGAGTCCCCGTGCGGAGATGTCACCCCCAACACCGGTGACGGTGGGAGAAGTTGTCCTTATGGGGCAGTCCTGCTCGAAGCCATATCCCGGCAGCTGGGATGGGCTCTTGGACCATAAGCGATGCTGGTCGTGGTTCCTCCAAGCCCAGCTCCAGAGGTGGCACCGAGGTTTCCCATCACACCGCCTTTGCCCACAGAAGGCGACACCGGTGGGCAGCACCAGGGTGGGGACCTCCTGCCAAGGTGCTGGCAGAGCCTGAGCGTCCCTAGCATCACCCCAAGCTCTGCGGGGTCCACAGTGGGGGTGACAGGGAGCTTCTGGCCCGGTGCTCACAGGGACCATCCCGCAGGTCTGAAGACTTCAAAGACTTCCTGAGGAAATCCTTGGAGAAGAGCCCTGAGGCGCGGTGGTCGGCCAGCCAGCTCCTGCAGGTGGGTAGCACCCATCGCCACCTGCTCGGGGTGGTGGGACCCATCTCCAGTGCTGGCCCCGCTCACCTTCCTTGCTCCCACCCAGCACCCCTTCGTGGCGGGCACCTCTGACAAGCGGCCGCTCCGTTGGCTGGTGGCCGAAGCCCGGGCTGATGTGCTGGAGGAAGAGGATGAGGAGGAAGGTCCGGTCCCCTTGGTGCGTGAGTAGCGGCTGGTGGGGTGCAAGATTCCCTCCAACCTCTCCACGAGCTCGTTGAGCCTCACCTCTCCCCTGTTGTCCACCCCACAGCCTGGACAGGAGCATGGAGAGTCCCCCTGCTCCCCGACACCAGGGGGTTCCCTGGAGCATCAGCCCCAGGACACAGTGGGGAGAGTCGGCGAGGAGCCGGGCATCCCATCCGACGTCTGGGCGGTGGCAGAGCCCAGGACCAAGAGAGCGTCCGACTTCTTGAAGCAAATGAGGAGGAGGTCCTCGCCCGAGCCCGTGGGCTCCGTGAGGCTCCCTGCAAAGAGGCCGTCTGAGTTTCTGAAGCTGATGCGGCGCAGGTCATTTTTTGGAGGGATGAAGTCCCGAGAAACAGCTAAGGAGCAGCACGGGGCAGAGCCGAGCGGGCTGGAGATTATGGCGCTGGATGTTCCTCAAGGGACATCAGCCCCGGCAGAGGCAGGAGAAGTTCAAGGGTGTCGAGAGGAGGAGACCAGCCCCCTGGGGACCCCCTGCAACGTGGCCGAGCTCCCCTCGGGGCCACAGCGGGCAGGAGACCTTGCTGAACTGCAAGAGCTGAAGGCAGAGCAGGTTGGACCCAAGGCAGAGCCCCAGGAGGAAAGCCAATGTGCCGACGCATCACTGGTGGCTGAAATGCCCGTGGAGGGATGGCTTGCAGCACACCTGAGCCCCGTTTTGACCCCCAAAAGTGATACAAAAAAGGAGTCAAGCAGAGACCCTACTTGTAACTCGCTGACCCTGCCTGCACCCACGGACGGGGACTGGCTCAGAGGTTTGGCCGTGGGGCAGCTGGTGGCAGCCCTGGACCTGTGGACCACGGGGGCCAAAACCCAGAGCTTCAAGTCGCTGGCAGAGCATCAGCACCGGGTTACTCGGTCGTTGCTAGACCTGAAGGTTGAGGCTGGCTCCACTGGGGATGAAGATGGCCTTGGGAAGGATGGCGATGGAGCAGGGAGGGCACCCATGGGATCTGAGGGTGCTGGAGAGCCTGGGGAGACTGAGCTGGTGGAGGAGAGGGTGTCACGGGGTGAAGAATCACTGATGCCCACTGTGACAGAGGAGGTAGTGGTGGGGTCAGATGTTCTCGAGGGGTGGCAGGAGCCTCTGGCTGGTCTGGGAGAGGCCGGAGAGAGGAACAATGCGGAGAGAAACTCAGCCGTGTGTGAGCCCACCGCTGACCCCCTGGACCTGGTTGAGCGGGAGGTGGGGAAGAATGAGGAGGAAGCCACAGACAACACTGAAACTGGGGTGGAAACTTTTCCCGAGGAAGCCCTGATGCCAGCAGAAGTGAAATTGGAAGAGGATGTTGTAAATGGGTGTTTGACTGGAGACCGTAAACCAGCGGGAGATGCAGCTAGCCCGGGGAAAGTGATGCTGGCAGAAGAGGAACCGGAGGCAGCCTCTGCAGCATGTGCAGGAGAGGGATCTGCAAGTGAGGAGGCTCAAAATCCAGCAGAGGATTCATCCCTCGTGGAGATCCCGGGGCCTGCTGAAGAAGAAACAGAAGAGAAAGCAGAAAACAGCCCCAGAGACAACCAGCCAGGAGCTGCTCACGGGAATGGCTGGAAAGGACAAGATGGAAATGATGGAGAGCTTGGAGAAGATGGGGTACAGGTTGCTCCAGCTCCTGAAGGGCCATCAAGGGATGGATCTGGAGAGGAGATGGGTGGCTTGGAGGGTCACGGAGCAGTGCCAGAGCCCCAGGAGGCCCTTGTTGGACATCCAAAGGCCAGAAAGACCATGAGCTTTGATGCTGCCCTTGTCCGCACTTCTTCCCACGCGCGGGCAGCGTGGGAAGCAGGGAACGCACCGGATCCATCCCTCACGTCAAAGCAAGGAGAGGAGCCATCCCCTGTGGAAGATCCTGTGGATGTACGAGGTCCAAGTGCCCTCCCTGCAGCAGCGCAGCCTTTCCCCTCTGCTGGGGAAGCCCAGCAGGTGAGAAGCTTGCAGGTAACATGGTCACGTGAAGCTGCCCCCCCCCGCCCCTTGCATGGGCTCCCCTGTTGGGTCTATGTAGTTTTGGGCCGCCTGAGCTCAAACCATTGCTCTCGGTCGCAGGAACCTGCCTCGCTCCAAAGGACGGTCAAGAAAACCCGGAGGTTTGTGGTGGATGGGGAGGAGGTGAGCGTGACGACCGCCAGGACCGTCGGCAAGGCCGGGGCAAGGGATGTGATGGTGCGCTCGGCTCGGTGAGTGATGCTGGTAGTGGCCACCAGACACCTCCCATCTGTTTCTGGACAAGGAGGACCAGGGGCAAAGGAGAGAGGGTGCGGGAGGGAGGATGGGTCTATGGGGCTCTGCAAAGCACAAGTGCTTGACCTCCAGGCTTGGAAAACCCTTCTGCCTCCCTGGCCGGGGTCTACTAGCATGAGCAAGCCCTTCCCTCCATCCTCAAGGCTGTGCCGTAGGGGCACACGAGGAGCCAAAATGTTGCCCAGCCCCATATCTGGTGTGTCCAGCAGCCAGCTTAAGTAAAGAAGAGGGGAAGATCTCCCATAAGCTCTCACGTCACCCAAGGAGAGTAGGAAAGGATGAAGGGGAAGATGGAGGGGCAGCAACATCAGCTGAGCTTGGGAGCGTGGCCACCATGGACCCAATGGGCGTCCCGTCTTCCTTCTTGCTGGAGAAAGTCTTCTCTGTGGTGTTGCACCAGGGCTGAGCTTCTCCCTTCCTTTAGCCACCTACAAGTCAGGCATCCTGGGAGAGAGAGGTGCCTCCAGGGCCACCTTTGGGCCCCCTCTCACCCCAATTCCCCAAACCTTTAGGCGCCAGGAGCTCCGTGAGCTGCGAGTGCTGCAGAAGGAAGAGCAGCGAGCTCAGAACCAGCTGGAGCAGAAGTTTCACCAGCAGCGGGAGCAGATGTTTCGTCACATCGAGCAGGAGATGACGGTAACCGGACCATCGTCCCTTGGTGCCATGATATGGTCAGAGAGGGAGACGTGCAAGGGGGTGCTGGGGTCCCACTGTGGGAGATGCCAGGGTCTGGGGGGGGTTTGGTTGCTTCGGTGGCCGCTTTTTCTGGCCACTTCTTCAGCCCCATTAACCACATCTGCATGGCAGAGCAAGAAGGAGTTTTATGACCGGGAGGTGGAGAGCTCAGAGCGGCGCTACCGGCAGCTGAAGGAGCGGCAGGAGCTTGAGTACACGACGAGGCTGCGAGATGAGGCCAAGCGCCTCAAGTCTCTCCAGGAGAAGGACTGTGGGAGGAGGATGCAAGAGCTGAAGGGCAATGGGAGAGAGGTGAGGGTCTGGGGTAGCGCTGGCTCCCCCGGCCGTGCCACCAGGAGCCTGGGAACCATCTCCCCTGGGTGCTGGGACCAAGCCCCTCCGTTGCTCACCGCAGGAGCAGCGGTTCCTGCAGCAGCAGCAGGAGGAACTCAACACAGCCCTGCAGAGGGTCGTCCAGGAGCACAAGAAGAAGATGACGTCCATCGACTGGGAGTGCATCAGCAAGATCCATAGCCTCAGGAGAGGTGCACTGGGCTGGGAGGAGGATGAGGATGGAAGGTTCTTGGGGAGGGGAGCAGGGGGTCTGGCTGGGGTTTTTTGGAGGTGGTCATGGTGCTGTGGTCTTGCCCGGCAGCCCGCGAGTCAGTGGTGTGGAGCATGGAGCAAGGGCACCTGCAGGAGAAGTACCAGCTCTTCAGGCAGCAGGTGAAGGAGCAGCACGCGTTGCAGAGGCAGCAGCTCCGCAAGCGCCATGAGAAGGTGAGGTGGGAACCGCCGGCGATGCCCTCCCAGCCCTGCGGGCTCCCAACCCCTCTCCTGGCTCATCCTCCTGCCCCTTTCCCAGGAGACAGAGAGGATGAACCGCTTCCACCAGCTCTTGGTGGAGGATCTGAGGAGCCAGCAGGCACAAGAGCGGGCTCAGCTGCTGAAAAGCCAGCGCTGCGATGCCAAAATCCGCCTGGCCGTCTTCAAGGACAACCTGAAGATCCAGGAGGCTAATGGGGCCAAGCAGAGGGAGAGGGCCAAGCAGGTACAAGGACCTGTTCGGGGCCAACAAGGTTCCCCAGCACAAAGTTTGGGGGAAGTCTCCGAAAAGCTGTAAGCAATGGCTTTTGGGGAAGGGGAGGGTGACACGGGCTGTCCCCCACCACAGTTCATGCAGCAAGAGGAGAGGCGGCAGCGAGCAGAGGCGCAGCAGCAGCAGGAGCAGCAGGCGCAGCAGCTGCAGCAGCTGCAGCAGCAGCAGGCTGAGAGCCTGACAGAGCTGGAGCAGATGCAGGTACCGGGGACCACTGCAAACCCGTCCACCCCGGGGCTTCCCACATCCCTGCTACCTCTCCTCGAGCACCTTCCTTCCCATTTCCACCTCCCCTCTCCCAGAGCGAGAAGATGCACCTCTTGGCAGAGCAGGAGAGGAGGCAGCTGGGGCGGCTGGACCAGGAGCACGCCATGGAGCTCAGCGAGTGGAAGCAACGGCTGGCCGCCCGCAAGGAGGTGAGCGGTCCTGCAGCCCAAAGCATCTCCTCCCCGTCTTGGCCCAGCTCATGGGATGCGATGGAGGGCTGCTCTCCCCGCTGCAAGCCCCTACGACACGGGGCATGGGCACGGGACATGGCAGCGCTGCTTTTCTTCTCCAGATGCTGGAGGAGGAACTGGGGAGCTTGCCGCCGGTGCAGCGGCGAGGAGGGCTGCACGGTGCCCACGGCAGCAACAGGATCACCCGCTTCTTCCACCTCCCCTCCTGACACTACGCCGCAGATTACTGGGGAGTGAGAGGCAGGCAGCTGCCTGGGGACCGGTCCCACGGCTCTTCTGGGAGATGGGACTGAAGGATCTCAAAGCAACAAGAGGGCCAGCTGCTCTGGGGATGCTGAGCCCCGGGGCCAGCAGCCTGGCAGGACATGGTACGGATCCCGGGGGTGGCAGGCGTGGGTGTGTTCAAACCCACCCTTGCTGTGCTGGGGTGAAGCAGGCACCCCGAATCGCCCCAGAAGCCCCTCGGGGAAGCCTCCCCTACTGGTCTCGAAGCTGTGGATACAGGTGGGTTGCTGGAGCTTCCCATGCGGATCTCCCCTCAGCTGAATTGCAACTCAAGGAAATACATCCTTTCTTGAAGAAAGCCCCCGTTTGTGACTATTTTACTTAAAAATTCTCATCTTGCACCCCACCAGTGTGTCCTGTGCCCCCAAACTGCCCCCTCAGGCCAGCTCTCAGGGAGGGGGATCCCGTGCCCAGCCTCTGCCCCAGGGGTGCCCTCGGGGACAGAGTTGACAGCACAGGGCCAGCACTGGAGCCAGGTCCAGGCTTCACCACCCTGCACAGAGCTGTTCTCCACCCACCTTGTCAGGGCCCTGAGGGCACCAATAAGCCCTAATGGCCTTGACGAGCCTCACCAGGGGCCTTGATCCACACCTGTGGCCCAGGAGCTCTATTAAAGCTCAGCTCAAGGGCTTCAGTCCCTGCCTGAGCTGCATTGGGAGTGCTGGTGTCCCTGCCTCATCATGTCAGACCCAATCCTGACCCGCAGACCGACTTCCTGGCTCGATCTTGGACCTGCTTCAGCACCATGAACTTGCCTGGTGATCTCAACTCTTGGTTGAAGCTGGCCACCATCTCTGGGTTGGTCCTGCTCATGTCATTCAGGTACCGGAGGACTGGGTCCTGGCTGGTGATGCTCCAGCCATGCGATGCCCCCCCCATGGTTCCTGGGCTCGCCTTTCTTTAAGGAGCAGCCCTGCTCTTGCTGCTCCCGACCATCCCTGTGTTATTTTAACCTCTCTCCTGTTTTGGAGACTCCTTCTTCCCCGCCTCAAAGGCCCATCTACAAAGTCTGTAGCAATTTATTATCTTTAAGCTCAGTATAAAAGGTAAATCATTTTAGGGGATGAACAGGACTACAGGAGGAACTGGAGACGTGAGTAACAGTCAGTCCACGTACTGGGAATTACAGACAGAGGAGCCTTTTGCTAGCAGGCACTGGCGGTTCACAGTGACATGGAGGAACTCCGCTATCCAGACCCAGAAAAGAGCTGATGGATCGAAGATGGCAGGAGCCAGGCAGGCTGAGCTGCAACTGTCCATCTGTGTAGGTCCTATGTTTAGGTAGGACATCCTTGATTTAAAAGTCTTCCTGAGGCGCAGAAACCAGTGAGATTTCCCAGCAATGGTGCTGGGAGGAGAAAAATCTGCCACTGATGAGATAGTCCAGAGCGAGCACCGGTCAGCTGGGAAGCTGAGCTCTGTCCTGTGGGTCAGCCCCGGTGGTCTGCTCCGCACAGGGCTCAGTTGCCTTGTTTCACTAGGACATCAGACAGGTCCTCCGTGCCCTCCAGCTTCAGATTCTGGGAATAGAAAAGAAAAGCTGAGTTCCACAAAGCCAGACTCTTCCCCTCCAAGTCTGAAGGCCTGGCATAAAAAAAAACCCAACCACACGAGGAAGGTTCGGAACAACCCCAGCCCCTTCTGTCACCATCAGCACATGCAAGACCAAGGCTTCCCATCGGCTGTTGCTTTGGGGTCTGAAACGCTTACAATGCTTAGAACAACGCTGAGCAACAAAGTGCTCACCCCTCTGCAGCCAGACCCAAGGACAAGAAAGGACAGACAGCAGTTAGGCTGGAAATGCCACAGGTGCTTAACCATGGGCTGTCGTTCCCAGCACATCAGCCTGATTTATGTTCACTATAAGCATGAAACAGGGACTTAAGTTGAGCCGCCCTGATGTAGCAAGAAAATGGCCCTGCTCCCGGTGCTTTTCACCGCGTGTTTCACCCGCTGCTCCTACCACGTCTCCTGTGTGCACGCTGCGCTTACCTTCTCATTTGCCAAATGCAAGAGGCAGGCGAAGGCTAACGGGACAGACAGATTGTTAGCCATCACGGAAGGCAGCCTACAAAAGAGAAGGGAGGAGGTTAGGATGGCCAGAGCCTACTGAAACCCGATGGATGGAGCATGCCTGCAAGGACCAGGTCACCAAAGATCAGCTCCTCCCCTGGGATCTGGTTTTCTCTATCTTTCCCCTCCCACTAGCAAAGAATTTGCCAAGCTGAATGCAACCCGTAGCTCCCCCAGGCAAACCCAGAGAGCAAGAGATTTCTTTTTTCCCCATCAGGGTTCAGTTAGCAGGTTGTAACAGACACAGGAGAGGTCAGCGTTTGCCCAAGCTCAGCTGAAGTCTGTCCCCATCTTCAGTCCAACCTGTTTTAGGGCCTCTCTACCTGTGAAGCAGTTCCTTTGTGATGCTGCTGAAGACCTTCTCGCCCACTACCGCTGATATGTCCTTCTCTTTCTCTGCATCTTCCACCTATTTAGCAACAAGACAGACACTGCTGAGACAGATTTTGCTCCCCAGTACTCAGCCTTGCATTCAGAGGAAAAACAAGTTACACTCGGTCCGTCCTTACCAACCATCCCATGGGAGCAAGACTACTAGAAAGGACTTGCTGCTAAACCTGCCCGAGACTGTCTCTGCAGGAGTTAAGCACAGTTACCTGCAGGGCATTCTCTTATCCTCGGGCCTATTGAGGTATCTGGCTCCCCCTGCCCTCACCTCTGCCACTGTTTCTTTCTTCTGTCCCTCAGTCAAGAGATCCCACATGTTTTTCTTCAACATCTTCATGTCCATTTTCTTGGCTGTCTTTGCATACTGAATTTCTATCTTATTGACCTGAGGAAAAGAAGTCTAGGGTTAGCTGAGAGCAACTGAGCAGGAGCAGCAGCACTATCCTCAACCAGGACCACAGGAACAATCAAACCATGGCTCTCCTTGGGAACAACGGTGAATGCTATCTTACTACTAAACCTTTGATTTTTAATTCCCTTCTCTTACACAAGGGTTCATCTGGGAATAAAGTGTCCAGCAGCAAACCCAGGAGATCCTGCACCAGGGAAACCGCTGTCTCAGGACTTCTAACCACCTGAGGTGTTGAGTGCCTTTGCTCCAGACCCACCCAGTGAGCAGTTCACAGCTTGGCGACAACACAAGTCCTTACCTTCTGGGGCTCAGCAATGAGGTTCAGCTCTCCGTACACCGTGATATCGCCATCGCCGAAAACCCTGTCGAGCTCAGCGTCTTGACCCTCAGGGTGGGTGGTAAGGTTGAACTCCCCCATCTGGCCCGTGAATTGAATGGGGTCATTATCATCATCGCTGTCTGCAGCCTGATCAAGAAGAGACACAGCAGTGAGGGCACCCAGAGACACCTTTGAAGAGCCAGAGATGTCCTGCACTGAGATAACAAGAGCACCCGCCTCTCAGGAGGGTGGCGATACCTGCCCACCTTCCCCATGGAACATGTTCGTATTCAGCCTCTCCCCATGGCGCGTAGGCTGGGCTAAGGCTAAACCCAAGGGAGATCTAGAGCACAGAACACCAAAAGAATGTTCTACATGGAAAGATAAGAGAGACAAGGGTTCTCCTGCCAGTGTGGGACCAGGCGAGACTTGTCACGAACACACTCAGGAGGCAGCACTGGCTTGGTAGAAAGCTGAAGCTTTAGAAGAAATCTACTTCAACGGGAGCTTGAAACAGCCGGGAGCAAATCTCACTGTGTAGAGATGACTGCAGAGGTGAGCAATGGCATTTACTCCTACTTTAGGGCACAGGGGTATGGAAAAGGCTGGCATGGAGATTCTGCAGCAAACTCACTGGCAAACACCAAAGGCAGAGAGTTTAGTTGATGCTGCTAGAGTGAGGGGACAGGGCTGTGCATAGAGACTCCTGCGGCTCTGCCATAATCTGCAGCTCCAATTCTTTTTCACTAGTAATTAATTCTGGACACAGATTCTTCCTAAATTATTCCCATCATATATCAAACATAGGCAACAGAAAGAAATCTTGTTCCAGTTACCTGCAACGCAGGGCAGAAATTGGAGGTGTCATTGGGGTTGTTGTAATCATACTCGCCGATCTCATCTTCGTGATCCAATGAGCTGTCCCTCTCAGATGTCCTGCAGAGCTACAGAGACAAAACCAGGGGTCAGGAAGGGAAAAACTCTAAATACTTCCCCAAGCAATGCCTGCACCTTGTTCCTTCATCACCTCCCCTTTTCCCAGCCTGCTGGCTCTTCCTCCTCCTCCTCCTCACATACCAGCTCTCTAGCGAGCCCCTTGTAAAGCACAACAGCTAAGCACAGCCGCTTCAGCATCCACAAGTAGGTCAGCTCAGTGAGAGACATGCTGGCCCGTCTCCAGCCCCGAGGAGCACCCTGAAGCACTTCAAGCATTTGGTAAAGAGTGGTTTTGTGCATGGAATTGTTGCCGATAGGCTTTTAGAGAAGACTCTTACCTTAACAGCTGGTTTGATGAACAGCTGGAGAATGTTGTTAGGGTCATAGTTGAAGTCTGTGGGAAGCGTGGTGCTCTTCACATTCTGGCTTTCCAGAATGGATTTGGCTAGAGTTACAGATGCCTGGGGAAGGTAATATGTACCGTTACCCATGAGCTATCCACTACTTGGAAGATCAATGCACAAATAAGTGCTTTGAACAGAGGTCTTCATCTGAAAGGGGGCAAGTTCTGAGATGCCTCCAAAGAGGAATTCCACACTGGTCCAGTCAGTGCACCCAGTGGCTTCTGCACAGCATCCTGGGACACGCAGCTGGACCCGCAGGGTCTCTTTGACTGACGGTATAAGCCAGGAAGAATCCAGCCCGTCCTGGTTTCGGCTGGGATAGAGTTAATTTTCTTCCTAGTAGCTGGTATAGTGCTGTGTGGATTTAGTATGAGAATAACGTTGATGACACACTGATGGTTTAGTTGTTGCTAAGCAGTGCTTACACTAAGTCAAGGACTTTTCAGCTTCCCGTGCTCTGCCAGGTGCTCAAGAAGCTGGGAGGGAGCACAGCCAGGACAGCTGACCCAAACTGGCCAAAGGGCTGTTCCATACCATGGGACATCATGCTCAGTACATAAACTGGGGGGGAGTTGGCCGGGGAGTGGCAATCGCTGCTTGGGGACGGGTTGGGCATCAGTCAGCGGGTGGTGAGCAATTGCATTGTGCATCACTTGCTTTGTGTATTCTTTTATCGTTGTTATTATTATCGTCTCTTCTTTTGCTGTCCCCTTAAAGTGTCTTTATCTCAATCCATGGGTTTTACTTTTTTTTTTTCTGATTCTCTCCCCCATCCCACCGGGGCGGGGGGGAAGGGTGAGCAAGCGGCTGTGCGGTGCTTAGCTGCCGGCTGGAGTTAAACCACGACACAGCCCCATTCTCCACCCCAAGGCTGGTAAAAATCTCTACCTGTAACGTGACCTGGGGTCAGAAGACCCCGCATCGAGGAACGTACACGATGTTGGGTTTACAGACCCAGTTTCACAGGAGCATGAGATGAGCCATTTGCAGACGACAGTTCCAAGCCGCACTGGTATGGCAAAAGAGAGAGCAGAAAGAGGCAGAAGCTCAGCACATACCTTGGTCTTACGGAAATACGCCTCAAAGTCAACATCCTCATCAAAGTTAATTTCAAACGCCTTCTTTGCACTCCTTTTCTTGGTCTCTTTTTCAGAGTCAGCATCTGCTGCAGAAAGGAAGGAAACTGTCAGTGCTTTGTGACAGAGTAAGGACAACAAGCTCACTCCTAACTTCGGCATCTGCTCTACATAGAAAGGCCACTTACAAGGACTTTTCCCTTTGTTAGGGGAAAGCAACAGGTGTTGTTCTCGGCTTCATGTTTTAAAGGGATCAGTATCTTTTTATAGAAACAGAAAGTGTAATTTAATCTTCAGTTTTTATTCAGAAGGTGGGAAGCAACAGCAGGAGCTGTATTAGTGCTAGTATCTCCTATCGCTGTGGTGAGAGACACCCCCTCAGCTTTGAGCATCATTAACAAACCCAAGCAACAGAGAATGCGTTAGACACCACAGGATCCACACGTGACTGAGAGCCTTCCTTGTGTCTGAACTCAGTACTGCTTCCCATCTGGCTATAGAAGAGCCATGCAGGCTTGTCCCCTTCTTTACTGTCCCTACTTTATGACTCAGGTGCCACCCATCTCCAAAGGTAAGCAGGACCTGGCAGCAGCTCATCTGTAGCATATGAGCCGCTGTCTCTAAATACGTACATTTGTGTCGAGGTTTGAAACGCCAGTGCTCTGGGCCAGCCCACATTGACAGAGTTCGGGGACTGAAGTAGGAGTATTCCCCTGGTTTCATGGAGAGATGAAGGCATATTGTCCCGATGTCTCCCTCTCCAAAAGGAACCGCATCAGTTCTGGAAAGAGCACACATGCTGCTCAGTGAAATCATTCCTTTGGCACACACCAGGCCCGAGCGTGCATTTAATATCCCGATCAGCTCTGTCCAGGCATCACCCGCTTCCTCTGCTGGCGTGTGTGCAGGACTCCCGCTCTTTACTCAGTGAACGGTACCGTGTGTGTTCACTGTCTGGAATCTGTGAGGCTGCTGCAAAAACAGAGGTGAATTTGCCAAAGGGCGGGCTGGAAACGGGGCAGCAGAGCAAGCAGATAAGCAATCACTCTGGGGAAACGTGACCATACGAAAAGGTCCTCTTGGAGGGTAGAGATATTACTGTAATGCATTCCTGGACGTACCCGAAACTTGGGCAGAAAGCAAGCTATAGCCAGATGGGAAACGTGTACACAGTAAATTAAAGATTCCCCAGAGAGCTGCCAGAAGTTGTTGCTTGCTATCAAAGCACAGCTATAGATTTTCAGCGACTGCTTACGTCTTGCTCTTGTGGACTGTTCCAAAGGCGTGGAGGTTTTCTGTGAATTCCCCAATCTTGTCCGCTACTGTACTCCTGGGGGAGTCAGAATTGAAGTCGTCATCTGGCAGGGTGGCAACGTAGTCTTCCACATTGCTATCTATCTTCGCATTGATATCGAACACTTGGTCGCTCTTCTTAAATTTATCCAACAGGGCTGACACCGACTGTGGGAGAAGAAAGCGCTCAGGGAAAAAATTGCAGGATATCAGCGGCCCTGCAAGCGCAACATCCCACTGCCCTGTGTATCTCGGAGATCGCTTTGGAGGCGAGCGCAGAATACAGCTCGAGTATCCCACCCGGCTCAAGTATCCCACCTGGCACAGAGCTAACAAACGTACCTCATCGTGGGATTCAGCATCCCACTCTGTAAACTGGAAACCAGCCAGCGAAGAGCAGATGGGGCGTTTTTCAACGCACTGCGCTAGCAGGGCTAAAGACAAGGAGAGCAAGGGGGAGAGATTAGATATAGGATGAAACAACCAGCACCTAAAATAAGTGCAGGCATTATATCATTCTTAAAGCCACGTATGTAGGCAGCCCTTCTTGCATGTAGGGCAGCGCAGGGCTCACTGTAAAAGCAGTCGGGCTCATTTCTCAGCAGAAAGGGAGAGTTCAATTGCTACCCTAACTCGAGGGTGGGCATAATGCTGAGAATCTTATCAGAGCAGCGAGGTTTGGTAGTATGTACAGGCTCAAAACACTCTAAGAAGGTCAGTCCTTAACCTGGAGCACAGTAGTCTCAACTGCTGCACAGCCCAGACCATGTATACATGCTGTGTGACAGATCTGCCAGGGGTTAAGCTACACATAGTGATCTAAAACCTACAAAAGTCCTGTTTTTCCAGCAACCAGTCTCAACTTGATCAGGATCAGAGCAATGGGGCCACAGGGTAGCCAAGCAGAGAACAAAAGCACAAGTCAAGCTGGCTGAGACTAAAACGAGCACGCTTGGGAGATGAAAAGGATCGAAAGGTCTGGATGGGCCCCTTTGCTTTGCGGTTACCAGCACTCACGCTTTAAATCTATCACTTTCACAGGATGAGAGTTTGGCAGCGTGAGCGTCTCTGAAGAAGGGAGAGGGATGATCTTCGAGTCAAAGAGGAGCTCACTGTGGCAGCTTTGGGTATGCAGCCCGGTGAGGAAAATGCCAGCTGTGCTGCATTCATCAAAAGACGCGGCTGTTTTCTGGAACATGGGATCAACCTACAGGTATGGAATGAAGCAGAGAGATCAAGGAATGGTGCAGATGGAGGGGGTGAAGCAGGACTCTGCAGGAGACTCTGAAGTACAGATCCGAAGGGAGAAGACCCACACATCTTTTTCAGTGAGGAGAGAGCTCTCCCAGCTGTGTCACACAGGAGGAATATACGTGACTAGGAACAATCTTGCTATAATAGCAGAATTCACAGACGGGCATGTGAATGTTAGAGCCCGAGAGAGGAATGCACATAAGGAAAACAATAGAAATGCGAAAGATGAGGCGACATCTCCTTTCCTCCACCAGAACGCAGCTGCTACAGCAGCCCCCCTCCACCCACCTCACATCTGCGATTAGCCTCCGACACATTGATGTTATTCAAGTTCTGCTCGATGGTTTTGAATGAGTGCTTTTTCTTTGTCTGAACTCTCTTGACAGTCTCAGGAGCTGGACTGTATTCTAAAAGGAAAAGAAGAACAAGTCACACTTAGAAAGCTTGCTAAAATACCCTGCGGAGGGATAGCACAACTTTTTACTTCAGTTTGTATGACAAACACACAAAAACCCAGTGGGCATGAAGTTACCCAATTAGGTATCTGTTAGCATGAACCACCAATGTTTTATTGGCTGGATGCTGCATTTCTTTTTATCGACTCTGTTTTATCTTAACAGCACGTTTTCGTTTCAAAGCAAAGGACAGCAAAGGGTGGGGCGCTTCATTTTTAACGTTTCAGATTAGGCCACCTTTGGTTTGCATTCAAATCTGACAGGCCAAATCACTGAATACAGGATTGAGCAACAGATTCGGGTTCTCATCTCAACCCTCCCTGCTCAAGCACCCAGGCAAACTAATCTGGGATACCCCAGCCCTTGAAAAATGAAGTTAGCGGTACGCTCCTAGATGTACAAAGCGCTTCGAAATTCACAGGTGCTATGTAAGTACACTGACATTTCTCTCACGCGCAGCTGGAACAGGAACAACTTAACAGAAAATGAGTGAATGGCACACCTCCTTCTGGGCTGTCCACTTTTTTCATAGGTGTCAAGTCCTTGCCCAAGCCTCCAAGAACTCTGTAGGTATCTGCATGGACCACATCCACGCGCACGGCGTAAATCTTCGCGCTGGCATCAAGCGTGCCAGCTGCTACCTGGCAGGAGGAACAAAGGATGCAACCTTTACTTAGAAAGGGAAAAGTCTCATCTAGAAGATGCAAACACAGAAGACAAGCTGCAGACCTGAATTTCTGAATGCTCTCCATTAAAAGCAAGATGGTGAACAACTGGGAAAGGATTTATCCTGAAACGTACTGGAGACCTAGGTGCACAGCTGGGGTCAAGATGTGTCTTCCCAGGCAGAACCTGTAGTTTGCTTTATCAGGTCTTTTGGAAGGGATCACACAGAAGAATACTTAAGAAGTTGCCAGGATTAAGCAATGGGAAGAAGCAGAAAGGTGCAGATTTGCATCTGCCAAGAGATCTCTCTCCTCCACCTCTCCTTCATGCCTTCTTTTGGGTCATCCTCTTGATACCAGTCTATTTTCCCAAATTATGAAGTCAAAAGAGGTGAAGCGCAGGAGATGCCAAGTGCCCTTTTCGATCACAGACATCCCCCTGGAAGGTGAAGGACCACCCACTGAAAACCTGTGCACCGTTTCCCATCCCTTCCTCAGTTTCATCAACCATAACACAGCTAGCTCAGCCGTTCCTTGAGGCCACGTTCAAAAGCCCTGCCATTTGTTCATTCATCCAATAATTCAGTTCTTCCTCCTAGCCTCAGTGAACTATTATAGTGGGTAAGTCTTTGCCCTGGCAAGTTCTTATTCTGATCCATCCTGGATCAAAATTAGTCCGGGAGTTAGCCACACTAACTTCCTTTCTTTTCCAGCTTTGTTTTGTTACTGGTTGTAACACCCAGTATTTACCTCAGAAGCCTCACAACTCTTACTTTTAAACAAGCTCTCCTTTTGAAGGACCATAACTGAAAGAATTCAGCCTTTAATTTCTGTGGTACAAAAGGATTCAATGCTAAGCTTCTGCAAAAAGCGACTGTGCTGCCTCTACCAGATATTTTTAGTGGAAGTAACCAGCTCAGTTACCTTCAGCACTATTTGAGGTTTGTTATTGACTAAACCTTAGGCTAAATGCCAGTTGGAGACAAAGCACCACCGTGACCAGGCAGCGATTCCTCTCACCTTGAAGTTGGTCAGTTCAGAGTCCTTCTGTTTCAGGATCTCGGTCATATAGTCTATCAGGTGTAAGCCAAAGGCGTTCTTCGTGGTGATTTTCTGAAACAAAGCACAGCTCTGCACTGATCCCCTGGAAAATGACACCAGTCAAAACTGTCTGAACCCCCATCCCGCGGGGGTATTTACAGCAGGACCGAGGGGATACGGTCCGTGCCATGTCCTACTTTGTCACTGCCGGGAAGGCAGCAACAGAGGCCCAGATCTGGCCGTGGCTTGGATCAGGGACGTGGCTCAGGGGGTTTGGAAGACCAAGGCTCAAGGAGTTTAAAATCCTCCCCCCCCCGCCCTGGCCTTGCAACCACTGCCAGACCAGAGGTGGTGTGAGAAGGGGCCGGGATCAGGAGCCCTCCCCGGGGCGGCCGACTCACGTTCTCGGTGGAGAGCTTGATGCAGGTGCTGTAGTGGTCCGAGATCTGAGCGTTGGTCCACTGGGGGAGGGCCGG